AGAGATATATACTTTCTACATATACAAATACATATTTTTACTGTTAAGCACTATCAGTATTATTTTAAGTGTTAATGCACATTTATATAAGTAAGTATTTTATACACCTACATTTAAAACTATTTAATGCATTATTAATACCTACAGTGTTAACTAAACCCCATGGGTATGGAAACCATGATTGACTGATTTTTTCTTCTTTTTTCTTTTTAATTAAAATTGTCCAGATTCCAAGTCAAATTAGCCAAAACAAATTCCAAATCCGGGAGTCAGCCCAGAACCATAAATGGCCCTACTACTGGCAAACATCCTCCATCCCCACTTGGGTTTTCAGATGTTTCCAAAATATTTGGTGGGCATCCTAATTGCAGGCCCAAGCCTTGAGGCTTGGGGGTTCAGATGCCCCCGAGTTTTGCTTGCCCTTAGCCATAAGACTCCAGAAGGAAGCTAGGGAGGAGTCTCTCATTTCCATAAAGTGCACATAAAGCCAAGGTTAACTATGCATTATCTATGCAGGTACTATCCCATGCCAGCAGAGCGGTCTTCCCCAGGTGTGACTAGGAAGCCACCGTGGTGATCTTGGTATTTCCCCTGCCAGGCAAGCGTAAGACTACGCTTGACCTGAGCACTCAAGAGGACTGATTTTTCCTTCTATATCACAACAGAAGTGATTCTTGAGGAAAATTTGAAGGGGAACGTGGGTGTTCCTATGGATCAGATCAGAAAGGGCTTTTCATGAACAAGAGTTAGGAAAAGGGAAAGCATGGAGAGAAGCTGCTGATTAAGCTAGCTGGGCTGGCATTATTGGTAGAGGAAAGGAAGTAGAGTCAATGAGGAAAGAAATAAGTGGAGCAAGACAGAATTGTAAAGTTTCTTGAAGGGGAGGATGAGAAGCCTGGGGCTAATGTGGTAAAAAAGGGGTCAGGGGAAGGGTGAGGAGAAACTAGAAGAATTTAAATAAAAGGATGATCTGATCAGAGTGACAAAAGTACAGTGATTCTGCATATCTTGGCAGCTGGGTTTTATATTGACCTAAAGTGGGCAAGGTGCTTTCATTGCAATACAAAAACAAATGGCAACAAAAGTTAATTATATTAATCTTGGGCAAGAACCAAGAAACGGACTTAACTGCCTGACTCATGGAGGGGAACCTGAATCCTATGTCCAGAGGCGTAAAGGTGCCCTAAGAATGTCAATAAAAAAAAAAGCAATAAACTGAGCAGGCATAGGACATGCTTAGCAGAGTGCAGCCTATGGTCTGTGCTGAATGATGGGGTTTAAGTGGTATTTCATGTACTGAAATACAGGAGTAATGTTTTATTGTTCTGTGCTTTGTGTAGTTATTTATATCAATGCAAATGGATGTAAATGCTACTGTTCTGACTGAGCACAATTTATACTCAGGTTTAAAAGGAGCAGGGCAACAGAAAATTAGCTCTATTCTCCACTTACTCACCTAGTAGTCACTTCACTAATGAGAACAGAATTGCACTGATTGTATTCCATTGTAAATAAAAGCCCCTGATGCAAATTAAAACCCAGAATGGCAGGGCTTATTGCTATTTTTCCTTACAAAAAAAAGGAGCAAGAAGCTATATATGCTAGAGCAACTAGAGAAGGTAGAAAAAGCAGAAGGTTGACAATGTAGGGAACAAAGTCATCAGAAAAGGAAAATGCTCAAGAGTGCGGGTGGTTTTCTCAAAGTGACAGGACTATATTAGAAATGTCAAGGAGGACAAAGCAGGGATTAGAAAACTAGATCCAAATATATATACATTTTAAGTAAATGGAATAAGTGTAGAGGAACTACATACAGCAGAATACCCTATGTAGGGATGCTGCCCACACAGAACCCACATCTTCTAGCCTAGAAAGATACAGTTAATTAATTTATCAAGTGCAGGCCAGTGCACCTTTAATGCTGACTGAGCTAATAGCAACCTACCTAGTCTGATTTCATGGTACCCGTGTCTTCTCTAAATCTTAAAGACATACATAAGCAAGTAAACAACACATCGTAGTCACCTTGCTTAATACATAATCAACTCCTTGAGGGATGCTTAGATACTGTGGTGATAAGCATGATATAATGATTTATATAGGATACAACTGAATACATTAATTTGCCTGAGCCTTTCCTTTGACCCCTTGTTATTGAATAAATGAGTAATGCTCAAGCAAGCTATGTATTTCAATGTATCAATGTCTTTTTCATGTTATATATATATACATATACACATATACATACACACACACACACACACACATATATATATATACACATATACATACACACACACACACATATATATACACATATACATATATACACACACACACACACACACACACACACACACACACTGTTTCCATTCTATATGCATTATTTCACCAAATTTGCTTGATTCCTCCTCCTTGGAGCTATGCCTTTGCTTTGTAAAATAAAGAAGTAGAGATTACATATTGAGAGAAAAGAGGCTTGATGAATCACAAAAAAACCACATAATTTACTATGGCATCTTTCAATGCAGCTTTTCAGTCTCATTTAATACATTATTGAAGATAACGCATTCATTAAAACAGCTGCCAGCAAACAGATCCTTTGGATTTTTCCATAAAGCTCTAGTCAAAAGAGAACTAAAACACTGCTTTTTGCATATCCTTTTTGCATATCCTTTGCAAATGATATGCAAAAAGGATAAGACAAATATCAAGTTTTGCTACATGGCTATTGAGATGTTAATAGGATTTTTTTTAAATGATTACTGCTGTCCAGTCCTTTTATCTGAGAAATTTGAAATGCCCACAAAACTGTTACTTCTTTTCAGTATACATGTAACATATAATAAAACAACAATAAAACATATGGTACAATTACCAACGCTGCTCAGCAAGGATGAATTGATGAGCCCAGAATTATTATTGATTGTTTTTGCATTGCTGCATCTCTGTCACTGATCATTTAGATTAGAGATAGGCCTGAAGGAAAGCAAGGATCTACATTAATTGAAACCTCTACAGTCAGCCAAGCTGAACAGCCCCAAACTTTGCAAAAGCCTGTATCTCAATGTCATGTCTCATGCAAGCTCTTCATTCATACCTTATTTTTGTAACCAAAACTGGGTGATTTCAGTTGGCCCTAATATAGGCTTCCTCCAAGACTAAATTTGTCCCTCTGGTTAGGGACAGAAATTATACATAAACCAGTCTAAGTGATCAGAAGCCAGTATAAATCTGTAACAGAACAGATGTTCAATGCACATAGACCAGTTTCAAAATGGCAGAACCTGGCTGAAAATAGACCTGGATGGATGTAGTATTAGAGTTAATCAGTTTGGATTAGACCAGTCTTCTGTTCCAGATCCTCTCCTGACTTAAGCTAGTGGCAGTCCCCTGGCATCCCAAGATACTTTTTGGCTCTCACTAGCCTTAGGCCACCATGCTGACCAGCTCTGGAAGCCTAACAATGGGCATAGGGGAGGGTTTGTGGTGACAGCAGGGGACAGTGGGGGTATGCCTAACAGCCAATCAGGGATGGTCTGGCTTGGCTGCCCTTGGCAGTGTCCGGCCCACTGGGAGTCTTGCAGAAGCACCCTCACCTTCTGGCCTCGCCAGTGTAGGCATTTGCCTGCCTCCCCTGCCCCCTGCAGAGGGCATATGCGAGTTCCCTTTGCTCTCAATCCAATCTTGAGAGCTTAGAGAAGCCCACAAAGGTAGGACAGCACAAGCAACCTAAGGAAAAAAAATCACCCTCTTATTTTGATGAGGTTCCAATGAGGAACATCTGGACTATTTTTACACTTCTTACCCACCACTACAGCCACATCCAGATGAATGTAGATGTGTGGTATGTGGTGCCACAGACCCATCTGTGGCACCACACATCACACAAGCAGACATGTGCTGCACTGCTACCTTGCAGTGCGAGGGGTTTTTTGACCCCGGGAAATCCCAGGGTCAAAAAAAACCCATGGAAAAAAAAAAAAAGCAGGGCAGTATACATGGTGACTGTGCATTACCCAAAACTAGAGTGTAGCCAGCCAGAACAACACATTCTGACTGCGGGCCAGGCTACCAGCTGCAGGAGTGCCATGGCTGCAGCTTCCTGAGGCCCCCAAAACCTTAAGTAAGGCTGCTGGGGCCAGCACAGTTGCTGGCCCAGGCTTCCCTACTCCACCTGGGGTGACCTGCCATGCGCCAGACGGCACACAGCACAAGCATTCCCTGGGGACAAGCAGCAGTAGCACAAGGTGTGCCTCTGCTACTTGTCCCCAGGGAAACAAATGTCCTTGCTTGTGTGGACATAGCCTGTGGGCATACAGGTAGTGCAGATGGAGGAAGGGGGCATACCCAGGACACTCCTAAACTGGTTATCCTTTGTAACTCATGCAACACTGATTTAATTACGCAAACCTTCAAAGTACTGTAACACTTTTCAGGGAAACTGGACTGCACAAGGTAGCAGCTTAATCCCAGGGCTGCAAAAGTGAACTTTAAGGTATTCCTGCATACAGTGACATGCTTTATGCTGTTTGACCACTCTTAAAGTTCATGAGCTAGATCTTCCACTGTATGATTTGGGTTACTGTTTAACTGAGTTGTCTTTTAAGTAGCAGCAAAAAAGAATTAAGAACTACCTAGGAATTTTTCTCCCTTGCTTTCCTCAACACTATTTTCACCACATTTTTTGTTGTTGTTTTGGTTTAGTGGGGGGAGGAGGGGGGTGTTTTTTAGGGGAGGTTTGCTTGTTTTAGCGATTAGTTGATTACTATGTGTACTTCCCTTTTCCTTTAAAAGAAGGGTACTCTTTCATAAAGATACCAAATCAATACTTTTCTGCAGAGAGATAAGGAAAAAAAGCATTAATGATGTAAAAGGTCAATCCTAAAGCAAAAATGCTAAGAGTCATCACCTATTGTTGCAATCAATAAATCACTAAATTACCATTTACAGTGCAGAAACTTACTGCTTCTTACAAATGGATGCATTAACAAGTGAAAAACTGTTTTATTTCTTTATTTTAATCTATTTATATGCCAACAAAATGCTTTTTATATTGTTTATATCTGGCAGTCTCAAGGTGTTTAGACAACCAGCTTACTGAAGTAAGAAAGACTAAACAGAATGATCTTATGTCATGCATAGTATATATTTTATGATTGTACTGGACAACTATAACACTCGAGGTTTTTACAAACACGCCATACCAAAGTTACTAGATTTAAGAGCGAAGTGTAATCAAAAAAAACTGCTCTTTGTATTTTAGAATGCATATTTTCAATATGCAGAAAACAGGTCCTTCAGAACTTATGAGTAGATCTATATCCACCCGCACAAGGCATTTAAATTACATAAGCAGCTAAATCACATGGAGAAAGAGCTATGTTACTCATGACGGACAGAGTCAAGAATACATTGGCTTGCTTTCTAGAATGTGCATGTAAAGTCATCTTAATTCTCATGGGATATGTCTCTGTAATGACAATTTAGTAGGATATTACTGATTTTAGAATATTTCAGTCCTACAAATAAAAATTAAACATACATGTACTTCTTTTAAGTAATAAGTAATGCACTTAAAATACTAATGACTCTTCTTTTTTTGTGATTTCTGTATGTCGTAATTAATATATCCATTTTTCTGCAAGATAAAGAAAGGGTATATTAGAAGCACAGAAAAAAGTACACAATCAAAACTTTACAGATTTACACAAACAATTAGGGCAATTGATTTTTTTTTTTTTTTCAAAAAGACACTGGGGCCATGTCCCCTGTTGCCAGGAGTTGGCGTAGCAATATTATTTCAAATGGAGATATAATGGGTTATAACACCTGATAGTCAAACTCTTGATATTTAATTCTAAATGTTCATAATTGAGAGAATATTTTAGTTGTTTTAACTGTGATATCCCCATCAACTTTTTGCAATGATTTCCATTAACATTGTATATTTCAATAAAGTAATCTTCATAAATATAAACTTATTTCAATGAGATATATCATTCAATGGTAACTTCTTGGAAGAAATGTCAGCTATGCTTTAATAAGTCTTTACCATCTACTCTGACTAATAAAAGTAATTTTAACCAACAAATTAAAAAGTAGGAGCTTGATTCTTCACTAGTTTGCATTGTTGGTTAATCATTTAACTTGTCCAAAGTGTGTGGCACATGGGTGTAAAACATGTCCATCATATGGTTACAGACAGGTATTCATTTCTAGTGGTGGAAGTTTCAGAAAAATTTCCACTGCTAGAAATCTTTCCGGGGGGGGGGAAGAAGGAACATAAGGAAGTCCTTTTATCCTGCTACCTACTTCATGCTAAATGACTTTGCTTTTAGTCCCATCAAACAACTTCAGTCTTTAGTAACACAGGTAGAACAAACCAAAATGATCCATCTTCTCTAGACATTAGAAGAAGAGACACTTTCTGCTCTTGCTTTTCCCTAGCACAACAGCTTAGTTCCTCCTCCATGCAAGCTGTTCCTTCACAGCTTACCTCCTTTCTGCTCTCTCCTCTGGACTTCTAAGCTCCCCAGTTGGGCATTTCTGCTAATGTGGGACATTACCAAAATGCCCCACAGCTGCAGATCCTTAACAGGGCTGGCTTCCCTAAGGAGACAGATTACCCCGTTACAGGAAGCATTACAGGCATTCAGCCTGCAGCTACCCCCTTTCCCCTATTTCCCTGCATCTTCCTTAATTGAGGGTGATATAGTTTGGGGAAGGTGTAGGGAGCACTGGCTGCTCTGCCTCTTCCATTCCTGTGGAGACATGCAGTGAGTAGAGCAGCAGCAAAAGTCTCCCTCTGCCCCCAGTCTAGGGAACAAGTGGGGAGTCTCTCCCCTTCATTCTACCACACCCAGGAGGGTGTGAAACAGTGAGGCATTCCCCCTTGCCTGCTGTCTAGATTGAAGCGTGTCCTGGAATGCATAGCTCTTCCACGGCTGCCTGGGGAGAACCAGTTTGCAGCCCCACACCACCCTAGGAGGGGAATGCAGCACTGGGGTAAGTCTGTTGAATAGGTAGGGAGCAGGAGGGCAATGTCCCCTCATGCCTTCTCCAGACTGGGGTGTCCCCAGTCCCAGGAAGGCTCAGAGAACAGCATCATCTCAGCTCCTGCATGGGAGGAGTCAAGCTTTGGGGAATTTCCTGCTCTTCCTGCCTCCCAGTCTAGAGTCTCCTGCTTAGGGATGGTACAGGAGAAGCTGCTACCATGCCTCTGGATAACAAAAGGAGTTAAGCAGAAGTGTACAGGTGTTCATTCTTGTAAGAGAAATTCTCACAGGGGAGATCATCCAGGTGTCAATCTGAAAGGTCTTTCTCCTATATGGGACTTGTTTCCTCCAAAAGGAACAGAATGAACAATTTTACACTTCTACTTTCTACTGGCCAGTAATTTGATGATGTTTACACTGACTTTGTAGCCATGTAAATGACTTTGCATGGAGCAAAGCCAGAGAGACTCATAGTCTTGGTCTGTGCATTTAACAATATACAGTGTGTTCAAACTTAACATGCACTGTCTCAAAACACCTTGGAGTCTGGTGCTGAAATCCATATGTGTAACATCTGATCACCCAATCATATCAAATGCTTCCTTCAGAACCAGAGTAGCTTCAAGTCCATAGATATAACCAGAATTAGTCACAGAAATGGTAACAGAAGTGCAATTTTTAACTACATTTTGGATTTGGTCTTCTTGAGACTCACCTTTAGCTTTAGAATAGCAAGGTACACAATGCACAGTTTTTCTGTAAATCCATATGCTGTCTCCTGCTTTCAGATCTTCCAGAGGTCTTTTACACACTTCACACTTAAACACAAAATTAAAACCAAAATCTCATGAAAAAAGCAACCTCTATAATAAAATCCTCTAATAATTTCATCCCCACTATGATGCCTTCCAACATGAGCAGAAGATCACTGTAGATGCATAAAAGCATCCCCAAGGCAACTGAGCATTAGCAGTAGGCTCTATATTGGCAGGACTGGTACACAGCTCCAATTGCACATAGCTGGGTGAATATATCCCCAAATCATTGCCATGCAAAATCCCATGACTAAGAAGAGGGAGACGCTCCCACCTTCTAACCTAACTGCATGGCAGTTAGGGTACTCGCCCAGTAAAGTGGGAAACACAGTTTTTAGGTCCCATGAACTGAGAAGGGGGGTGTAACTACACCCCTCCTGCTTCCCAACATGTAAGTCTAAACACTGCACCTCAGGTTAGGCATTTTCCAGCTTTCCTCTTGATGTTAAGCCACAGTGCCTTGAATTTAATATTTACTAGGTAGAGAGCAGCAGGGAAGTTTCTGCTTCACTGGGAACCAGGGTTCAGGCTACAAGCAACAACCCCCTCACTGCTAATGTAGCAGCCACCTCACTGAGCCACATAACCTTTACCTTGTTCGCCTCTCCCTCTTGGCTGCCCAGGTGCCCTGCTTCAAGAAAATAAACCATATAATGTTTAACCTACAGTCTGATAGTTATAGCACTGTGCTGGGACATTAAAGTGCTATAGGCTCAAACTTTCTGCCGGAGGGATGGGAGGGAGATATGCTAAAATCTGGGTTTCCAGCTACCTGAACAAGTACCCTAGCCACTCAGTATGGGATTCAGGTATGGGATCTGGGTATAATTGTGACATATGCTCACACAGCATACACACATGGAGCCATATACCTGCCTGACCTAAGTGCAGCCTACTGAGCATGTGCAGTAGCTGTTTAGACACTTACACACTCACAACGAACACAGAATAAGTTCACAGACTGCATATAAGTGCTAAAAAATACTCGTGATGTGACTGGGTAACTTCCATTTGGGCACATAAAGGGAAACAGGATTCTTTTCTACATGACTTGCCCAAAGGTCACAAGTGAAGTCAAGAGTGATACAAGACTTGAATGCAAGTCTCCCAAGTCCAAAGCCTAACGGCCAAGTTATGTACCGTTTCTCTTTCACCCCTTGCTTGTGCAATTAAAACCATTTTCAAAACGTTATCTAGCAGCAAGATTCTGGGTGGCTATCAGCCATACCCAACTTCCATATGGCTACTCATCAGGATAACTTCTAGAAGAAAGCAGATGAAAATATGCAGGTGAATTGAGGTCCACATTAAATTCCTCAGGCCTCCAGGTCCAGACCACCCCCTCTAAAACTCAGTGAAGAAAGAATTTAGAGTGTCAACCCCATGGGATTAAAAACAGACAAATCCAATAGATACCCTTCTAACTTCTTTATTTCTCATATCTACTTTAAGGCAGTAAGACGTTGGAACTGTATACTCAGTGAGCATGTCTACACAAGATGTTTACTGTACAGTTGACTAATTAGTTGTGCAGTATACATCTTGGTATCTACATGTGCACCCCTATTGGGCTGGAGTAAATTAATTGTAAATACAAGTACTATCCTGCAACGGAGTAAAAAACTCCACAGCAGCTCACATGTGGATGCTACCTGGCTGGCTGGGGCATGAGGGTGCTTTAACATGAGAGCTGCCTGCTGGCTAGCCCCACACTGAAGCTCCATTATGCCCCAGTCACCCCTCTGCAGCACGTTAAGCTGCAGGGGGAAAGCAGGCCCAGGTTGATAGGCTGGCTGACCCCTGGGGCCCCTGCCAGCCAGGGCTGCTCCACCCTGGCCCCACATGCTGTGTCTGAATAAACCGAGCTTTTTGCTCCGCAGTTAATTCTACATTCAAACAGTGCATCCAGGAGTAATTAACTCTGGAGCAATAAGCTCTGCAATTTATTCAGGCACTGTAACTACATGTGTAGACACACCCAGTATTATTCAGCTTAATCTAGTAGATCCTTTGACAATGTTTTTTCCAGTTCAGGAGCATCCTGGGCATACCGCCTTCCTCCATTCATGGATGAACAATGCGTCCTCTGCAGGCTATGAAACCAAGTGGTAGTTATAAAGGCTTTTCACACCATTCCAAACAATGTCTACCCACTTCTATGTCACTACAAATTCTAGTATAATTCAACAGCAAAAAATATGTACTCTTATCTCTAGAGCTAAAAAATAATCATATAAATAAGAGTTGTCTAGTATTTTGTAGAGAGAAAAATGCTTTTTTTAATCTGTGGACCCCTAAAAAATTCTGAATGGAGGTGCAGAACACTTTGGAAATTTTGAATAGAGGCACGCATCCCTTAAAATTGTAAATGTGGGTATTCGTAGACTTTTGAGTGATCATAGTTATCTTTTGTAGACCCTCATACAATGAGAGTTCAGATTTTTGCAGAATCAGGCCTTTTCAAAATGCTTTGCAGCCATGCACCTCTGTTTGGTCAAGGCTGTAGAGAGCTTTCAGGGGCCAGATCAACCTAAATTGTGACTTCTGTCTGTGGCTTATCTGAGCTGAAGGATTTTCTGGGTGTTGTTTGTTTGAGTTGTGCATGTGGGGAAAAAACACCATAAAAAGAGCAGAGAAGGCATTAGGAAAGCACTGAACACAGATATAGAACCACCATGACCATGAGACAAAACTTTGAGGAAGGAAGTTTGGGACTAAATGCTTGCTGGAAATGATGTAGGAGTAGGAAGAAAATCTGTTCCTTGTTGTTTGATTCCTGAAGTGTTGAAGGAAACAAGGCTATTTCCAAAAATGTAGACAAAGAAGATTACACCAAAAAAATACATGACTCCATTATCTAATATCTCTTCCTAGTGGTAATGGTCTTCAAGACCTCAAATTTTGGCTAACTGCTAGAGCCAAACCAGTAGTGTTTACTTACATTCTGCTACCTAGCCTTGTAAAACTGCATTAGTGTTTCAGTATTGCATTAATCCATACTCCAGCAAAGCCTACAGGCCTTACTAACTTCTTCTAGAGATGCAACTTCTACACAACCTATTATTTCAAGGGCATCAATATGACTAATATCCCCCCTAAGTTTGTAGCAAATAACACTGTAAGTTAATAAAACTGAAGTGTTCCCCTGTAGGATTAACAACAACAAAAAAATCTGAGGAGGGAACTTCTGCAGGAGTCTTCACCGCCCCCGGGACAGAGGAGAGAAAACCTGAGGTGAAGGCTGCCTAGGAAAATCTTCCTTTTCCATGGTGCAGGGTCCATTCTGCTGCCAAAGGAAAAAGGTCCAAGGCCTACACATTTTGTTGTGATGGATGCAATATAATTCACGATATATGTGTTACATTTTCATCTATATTTTATTGTGGCAAGTGAAACCCCTTCTTACCTTGAAACAAGTTGAGTGGCAGCAAATCTGCAAGGCATCTAAGATCATTTTGGCACCTATGCCCAGGGGCTTCCGGCAGTATGTACACATATCTTTTTCAATTATAGTCCTGTGCATATATAATATAACATCAGCTGTCAGAAAAGCAGCTACCACTAGAATCTCAAGGAGAGGATTGATTAACTTAGTACTAGTAAGACATTAGCATACAATATATCAGTCATGAATGAAATACTGTCACATGCACATGCCCTCTATTCTAATCAATAATTGTAATGTAGGAATGGACAAATTGATTGATACATTTCTCAGACAGCAAGAATAATGTCCTTGCTTATTGGGCTGGGTGATTCTAAGAAATAATCAGAAAGTATTAAGACCTTTGGGAGTGTGCACACTAAGAGCAGTATCCTATTTCACCTACTGGACAACAAAACTGCAGCTTGAAACTAACTTAGAGTTATCTGATTAGAGTGACTATTACCCCCTTTTTGCAAAAAAGTGACCAGGATTATAGGAATAGGATTACCTTCTGAGACTCACAGATATCTTCTTATTCCTGTAACAGAGACACTTATACAGAAAAGAATCACACTAGTCAGGTATCACAGAACTAGTCCCAAGCTGCACTTTGGTCATCCACTAGGTAAAACAGGATTTTGCCTTAAATAGAAGTGGAGTGAAAGGTCACAATAAAGAAACGTCACACAAAAATTAATTGGTGCTTAGATTCAAACCTGCAGATGTTTGACTAGTCATGCACTGAGTTCTCACTCATTTTTGGCAAAGTGGCTGAAAGAAGTATTTTGCTGTCTCTGATTAAAATAAAAAATGTACTCTCATTACTGCCAAATTAACATGCATAAATGTTTAGACAAACTTGCCTGGCACCCATAATGAAAAATTAAAATCTCTACATTTTTTGTGATATTGCTCCCTAGATTGTCTTATCTAGTAACCCTTTCCTGTTACTGCTCTTCCTGATGCGTAAACCAGACTAATTTTCCTCATTCCCACACATTGATATGCTCCTATATCCATCTTCTATCCATTGCTTCACAAGTCTTTCTATCCCCACATTCAAAATGTTATGGATAATATAGATACCCATTACAAACTTTTATATTCATCCTGTTTTCATTATAAATTTTTCTGAATCTGATTATTCCCAAGTACTAGAAATGTATTATCAGAATCTACAATGGTTGGAAAAGTTCTTTTCCCTGACAGCTTTTCTTTTTAGTGACAAGATTGATGATTTGAGAAGTTATTCCCTTTACACTTGGAAAAAATCTTACGTACCGTGAAAAATAATATTTTAACTGTAAATATCATATCAGCCTGTTTAACCACCTCTGTACCGGAAGCTTAGTTATTACAGACTCTGCTTCAATTATAACAATGAAATTGGACAGACAAAGGGCTGTCAAAAGTAGATACCAACAGAACCTCTGAGACAACACCATCACTTCAAGCACCAGCCATTGTTTCAGTGAAGACTTTAAGTGAATGAAAGTCTAATGAAATGCAACAAGCATTACAGACAGCAAAACTACTGTAATGATGTAATGGCACTGAAAAGCAGGTCTGGGAGGAGGAAGCTGTCCAATCAGGCTAGCATGGATCTCACTGTGCTCCTCTGTTTATTTTGAGTGCTACTGTAAAATGGTCATGTTCTTCAGTAGTATATAGCAGTATTCCTGTATACCTACCGATCAGATGTGGAGTAAACAGTTTTGATAGACTTTCCTGTGACATTTTCTTCCTGTGCATCATTTGTGGACTTCCTGTAATTCAGTGAACACAAACCAATTTTACTGAGCAATATTTTGTACTTCTCAAGGATGTACTGAAGTATTGATTATACACAATAAATCACTTGTAACATACAGTGAACCAGTGGTCAACCTGCAAAAATAAGAGGTGATTTGGGGGGGAGGGGGTTCTTTTTTTTCTTATTTTAACAAGTAATCAGGACAAATTCTCTATCTAGTATAAAGTGAAAAATAAAGTACCATGCCTTATACTATGCTCTGCTATTTTACAATTTCTAAATATTTCAAACTGAAATCATAGGCCATTCAACAAAATCTGAAATATGGTATTGTGGCTGCCTATGATTACATTCCAATCAGAAAGTAATATATCAGGAGCTGGTAAGAAGCTAGTCCTGGGAGAGTTGTCTTTTTAATACTAGCCAATTGGTTTTTGCTAATGAATTGTGACGTATGCCAAGAAGTATACAGAATACCATTCAAATATAGGCTATTTGCTGCACAATTAATATTTATACTCACTGTAATTTTCCTTATACTGCAAATTGGATATGCTGTGGTAAATTTAACTATCATGCGAGGTAAATGCTCAGTTATTAACACAGCCTACTCCAGGTGCTTTACTGTTAAGAATAATACCATTTGGCATAGGACTGTCATTTGCAAGGTAGGTATGGAAGTTAAGCTACTAAAGCTATGGGTTTTGAGCTTTTTCAAAGTGACATATTTACTTTAGTTCACCAGTATTACATTGGTATTAATAAAAGGTAATTATTCTATGGTTTCTACTGCTGGTTTGTAATTTAGGTATGAATAACTCAAGAGTTTGTTGGTGCTAGGTACCTTATTTCCACAGAAATAAGGGCAGAAGGATGACTAGTTGTGATATTAATGCACTTAATTAGGAAGATCCTGTTTCAGTACCTAGCTATGGCCCAGTTGTCTCTACGCCGACAAAATGGGCAAAATTCTATTTTGCCCACTAGGCATCAGATACTATTCCATGTTAGGCACTTAGGTTTCATCATATTTCATCTTGTTCAAGTCCCTGAAAAACATTAAAATACCTACTTTTGTAAAGCACCAATACTTTGGCCTGAACAGTAAGTCTCAAAAAGGAGAGAGGAGGAACCACTCAACTTTTCTATTAATATTTTTTTAGAGACTCAGCCAGGGGTGGAATAGAATCTTACTTAGGCACCTAATGAGTATAATAGGATCTGGCCCACAGTTCTCCTGTACTTTCAATGAGGAGCTAGTACACAGGTCATATGGCCCCAGAGATGCATTCTACAGCATTCTACAAAAGCACACAACTTGACTAAGATGCATGTCTCTAGTTGAAATTCCACCTCCCCCTGACTGCATAAAGCAAATCCATCTTAGCAGGGTTTCTGAGTGGATAGATACCTCTATGGACAACTGTCTCTCCCCTTAAAATAATATGAAGATCTGCCTCAAATAGCCTGTTGTGAGGACATATACCCAGGACATAGGAGACCTGGGTTCTAAGAGCCCTCCTTAGCCTCAAGGGTTTGACTACTCAAAGATAGACATGGCTGAGTGTTTCAAGGGAAGCTGGCCCCCTAGGCAGCCAAGAGAGAAAAAGTCATAGGATCAGAACGAAAGGGAACCATGCCATGGTAAATCTTGGCACTAGTCTGGATTGCACTTTAGTGACAGGGGCAGGATCTGGCCCAGCTGAGTTGTGTCAGTGCAAGGGAGAAAGGATGCTAGCCTGCAGTGCACAGGGTGGTTTGAGACCAAACGCATCACTAATCATTAGTGTGCTCACTCCACTGGGGCTACAGGGTATGCTGGGGGTTCCACTTGGTATTAAAAGAAACAAAAATAAATCCCCTAGAGCAGGTTCTGGAAACTAGACATGAGTTTATGGCCCCTGCCTATCCAGCTACCTGAGCCACAAAGTCATGCTTGCTCTTGTAATGCTCCCTTTCCATCTCTTGGCTGTCCGGTGACCTAAATTCAATAGGCATATGCTCTTAGTTTGGCCTGATAATTAGCATGCTACCATATAATATGGAAGATTAGGGTTCAAATCTCCTCAAGGGAAATAAACCTAAAACCTCAGGTTTTCCAAGTCTGTGGCAGGTGCTCTAGCCACTGAGTAAATGTTAGCGTGCTCCTGTTCCCCTGTTCCCCCCCTTCCTCCCCCCAACCCTGTTTGCCATTCAGTGTGAAACAATTGCTAGTTGTGGGATATTGATCATCTACAAAATCTGGGGGTTTTGCAGCATTTCTGTGCATCCATGGTGAAGCTGAATTGCAACAGAGTACGTATGAATGGAGTTAGATGCCTCTGAGGAAATGTTGACTCACTTCTGAGTATGTGCAGTAGGACAAATTTACTTATGTTTGGCAAAAATGTTGCTGTGCAAGAAATGTTGATGTCTTTAGTGTGATTTGAGCCATGCTGGAAGGTGTAGTAGAAGGTTGCTCTGCAACTTAAACACTTAAAAAGGCATGTGTCTCACTCTCACATCTTAGCAGCAAAGGAGAATTCTGCCCAGTGACTCTCCTAGGAGTTCCCCTGTGGCAGAGCACCAGTAGGTTGCACTGGGAGCACTACAGGAGCTCAACTAGTAGAGGCTTGCCCAAGAAGTTTCCACAATGAGCTCCATACAACAAGCACTGACCACAGTGCTTCCCTATACAGTGCCATCTATTTTTCTGGGTGCGCTGAGTACAGGGGAAAGTGCCCCAGGAGGCTTTCTTCTGTTGGGAAATCTATGACCTTTCATGCATCAAGACAGCAAAAACTAGGCATGAATTTAAATTGCTATGGCCCTACTTTGATCACAGATGACAGATCAGAATGACTGATTTAAAATTTATCTAGTGAGAATCTCCTGTTTGAGTTATACCTGGGCTCTCTGAACTTTTCTCTGCTGTTTCAGATGTTCCTCTCTGATCTGCTCTCCACCTACCTCACATATAGTATTGCAGTTATGCTGCAAATTTTTCACCTAGCACACAACATACTTTTAATAAGAGGTGCCTTATGTCTGAATATGACATTGGTTATGCTTAAACAGATATTTTTCAGAATTATTGCACAATTACTGTAGAGAAAAATACTTGAGGTATCTTTCCAGTACCTATTCTTCTCATATGTCCTTGTGTACACAACAGTGTTCTTTGAACTTGAGTAAGTAGTTGAAGTATTACAGCTGAAATACACACAAACATGTATAACCATCTTTTAAAAAATATATGTACTATACAGAACAATGCCATGAGGCCATAAACAAATAGCAAAAATATTTCCTAATTCTCAGTTACAGTCCTGGCCACGCAAAGCTCCATGGGATCCAGGGTCCCAGCACAGTGCACACCTATGTAAACACCCAAAGGTTACCTGTAACTGTGCTAATGCCATTGGGATATAACCCAATCCAACTTTCTCCTGGAAAATCCATATTCCAACTTTTTTTCAAATGCAATCCCTACCACTCTCTCCTTAACTTGCCATGTTGCTGCTTGGTCCTGCAGAACCTATACCACAAAGCTTAGAATTCTGCTGAAGAACCTATTATGTAAAAATGAATAGAATAAATAGTGAGGACGATACTTCACTTCATTTGAATCTTTCATGAATTAATTTTGGTTTTCTATTCACACTGCTAATAAAGGTATATACATAGTCAAGTACATGGAATGCTATGTACTATAGCACACTCTTTGAGCCCGTCTTTACTACAGATTTACAGTGCTAGGCATGGGTGGATCTAGAATTTTGAAAAGGGTGGTGCAGATGGTGTGATGCATCACATATAACACATATTACAGCTGAGATACAAACACATATAAACATCTTTAAAAGGTGCCTGCCTAGGGCTACATTTTTATTTCAAGAGGAAAAAAATACTGTAACATTATTGGAATGGTATAAAAAACACACAACAGAC